GTCAGGGTGGCTTCTGGGTAATACCAGATGGCTAGGCCTCAGACTGATGAAGCCTCTTGGATGAGGGGCGAAACGTTTCTTTTTAACAAAAAAACGGAAGTCCAGATGACGATTCAACCTTTTTTGTTGTAGTCATGATTGGCTGATTGATCTACCAAACCTTAAACTTCTCAGGCACCACACAATAAAACCTTTGTTTTTCTTCAGACAGATGAATAATTTTCCAGAGCTTGAATAAGGAAAAGTTACCCAGCAGACACTAATTTGCCTCGAGGTGCTACATGTCATGCAGATTAGATACTTCCTTTTTGGCTTTCCTTGTCTGCTTACAAGCTTATTTTATGTGTTATACCTGCTATACAAATAGTACATTTCTTAGCCAAAAGTGCTTTATTTCTTAAAATTTAATTTATGTCAGAACATGGACAACCCACATCTAGAAGATGAACTGCTGTTATCAAGGCAAAACAAACTGCTGGAGGATGTTAGAGAATATTAACGATAATTAGGCGTCAAATTTCTTGAAGTGTTGTATATTTCTCATAACATTTCGTTCCAGGATTTTAGACTAAAATCTTTTTATGTTGAGAAATTACAAGGTTGCCTTTTGAACAAAATAGAAAATAATAGCCCAACCTCATCAAATAAAGTCAAACTTTTAAAATGACATTATGCACATTCTTGGGCAGCACAGTGGCACAACTGGTAGAGCTGCTGCCTCTCAGCGAGCGGGTCCCCGGTTCAAACCCCGGTCCGGGGGCCTTTCTGGGTGGAGTTTGCATGTTCTTTCCGTGCATGCGTGGGGTTTTCTCCGGGTACTCCAGTTTCCTCCCACAGACCAAAAACATTCATGTTAGACTGATTGGTAACTCTAAATTGTCCCTAGGTGTGAGTGAGAGAGTGGATGGTTGTTTGTCTCATTTGTCTCTATGTGTCCCTGTGATGGACTTGCGACCTGTCCAGGGTGTACCCCGCCCCTCGCACAGTGATTGCTGGACATGGGCACCGGCGACCCCCGTGACCCAAAATGGAAGAAGTGGGTAAAAGATAATGGATGGATGGATTATCAGATTATCAGGACTCAGATACTGCCTCACCAAAGTTGCCTCTGTAACATTCACACAGTCAAAGTTAAAGCTATGGTAGCCATCTTAAAATTGTGTTGACTCCAAAAGTTAACCATTTGTAGATGTTTATCTAATGCTCTCTTTCTGGGAGTTGATTAAAATCAATCAAGTATTCATTGATATATATGTCACTAACGCTACAAAGAACAGAACACACAGACTCGGGGTAGAAACAGTCTATGTAAAGCCAACGTGGTTCAAAACATCAAAGTTCATGCTCAATAATCCAGGTAAAAAAATCCAACAAAGTTCCGTCAGGACACCTGGACAGGCCCCAGAAACCATCTTATCACCAGCAAACTGGTTGGTCCACTATGGGAGTGTGCTGCTTGTGGGACTGAGTTTGTTTGTGGCTTCTCGGACTGATGAAGTCCTTTGGATGAAGGATGAAATGTCTCAGAAAAAAAAAGAAACCGTCCAGATGATCTGACTGAACTTTATTGGATTTTCTACCTGGATTATTGAGCATGAACTTTGGTGTTTTGAACTACTTTGGCTATGGCTGCCTCAGAGGAGTTGATGGAGGAGAGGGCAGGCCCCAGAAACCGTCTTATTACCAGCAAACTGGTTCGTCCACTTTGTGAATGTGCTGCTTGTGGGACTGACTTTGTTGTGGCTCCTCAGACTGAAGAAGTCCTTTAGGTGAAGAGCAAAACATCTCAACAAAACAAAAAAAGAAATCATCCAGATGACCTGACTGAACTTTGTTGGATTGCTATGTAAACATTGGCCAGGAAAATAAAAATGTGCATAAAATATTTTTAGGTTTTTATTAACGCAGATAAGATTATATTTTACCAAACAGTGTTTTGCTGAACAATTCGTATTAAAACGTGAAAAGAATGTACCCTTGATACCTTATTTCTCATTGCTCTAAATTAATGATTATCTCTGTGAGATGCAGGTTATGCTGCAGGTTTGAGCGATGAAGCCATGCATTTAATGTTTAGCCGAGTTGCAAACAGTTCAGAAGAGTTGTTTGATTTTGAGCTAATCAGTAATAAGGAATCAGGGTTGTGTTTTCTGAGAACACAGATGGAAACAACCTACAGGTCCGAGGTGAACATGTGGGAGGGTTGAACATGTAAGAGGCTACTTCTCAAAGTGGTTATCATTTATTTGCTATTTTGAAGTTTGAGACATGAGAGACCCAGATATAATTCTACAAGGAGGAAGAACCCTTTTTGTCAAGTTCCTCTTATTTACCCATCAGGGGATTTTAAACAGGGATTTCTTTATTTTGACTTAATTACACAAAAATGAACTTTTCTTCATTTACAATAAGACTTTATCTCAAATGACTGAGCTTCTTTGTCTTTCTAATCATGAAAAAGGAACTTTGAGTACAAGTTATTATTAATATTTATTTTTGTTATGCAATCAGAAGTTTGTGTTTTATGAATCTGGTGTGAAAAAATATTAAATACAAATATAACAATCATTTTACACATAGTATATTTCATTATAATGAAGTTTAGGCCTCGTTATAAAGATTTCAGTTCATACAAATCTAAGACTCATGCGATCGGCTGATTAAACTTTATTTTGTCTCACTGGTTTAACTTCCCATTGACCAAAATGTTGCTTCAGTGCCAGGAATGTTTCAAATTAGATCCGTTTTCTTATTTACTTAGAGGTAATGTTTGATTAAAGAATAGGTAACTGAAAACCAGAATTTAACATCAACTTTCAACACTTTGTGCCCATAATGTATTGGCTCTGTAAAGTGCCAAGGACCGAGACACAGAACAGTTTGCACATTTTCTACTATATCTCAGAATATGTGAGGTTTGACTATCCCATCTCTCGAATCTTTGGAGATTTGTTAAATTTTGTGCTCTGGGCAACATGGGCCAGAATAATAGCTCAGTCAAGTGAACATGTTTGTTAACCTGGAGGATGTGTTGTTCGTAAAAATGATGAAATCCACTAATCCAGCCGTAGAATTGAAAGTCCACAGACGTCTTTAACAGCTGCTGAGTTATTCAGCACTGTTGATTTCTACTGTGGTTTATGTGCTCTGTTTAAAACTAAATGCTGCCCCCTGCTGGTTTAATGTGAATAATGGTTTATTTTTAATTTTTATTTTTATTCTCTCTTTTTGCAGGGCATCCAGTCACAAACTGATGGTAAATATACATTTTGTTTCATGCACGTGTTGCCTGTTGTTTTGCCTGTGTACTTTTGAAAGCATAGACGTTGTCATAAAAAAAAAAACATTTTTGTGTTTAATTGAGGAGTGATAATTATGTCTCTGCTCTCACAATATCATATCTTTAAAATGGCTTTATTATAAATTGATTTTTCTCTGAATCATTCCTGCCATTTTTTACTGTTAACTGCTTTTCTTGCTGTTCTTGTTCTTCTATACTGTACTATAAAAACAGATATATCAAATACAACAGCTTCAACAGCAGTTCTACCTACATCTGCATCACCACCACTAACAACTGCTGCACCACCAACAACTGCTGCACCAACAACAACTACCACTGCACCACCAACAACAACTACCACTGCACCACCAACCACCACCACCATTGCTTGTACAGTAACACTCCTGTAAACAGTTTAGTTTCAAGAATCACCTCATTCCTGAAACTGTATATAACAGGCCTATCCAACTAAACTGCTCAGGGGGGCACAGTTTCTGAAAGCCAAGAACTCAGGGGCCGGACAGCCAACTGTTATTGTCATTAAGTAAATTTGTTTTTTGGTTTAAAATCTAGTTTTGTTTAAAAATGAACCCGTTGGTGGGCTGAACTGAGCTCACCTGCGGGCCTGATTTCGTTCCTGGGCCGCTAATTGAATAGCCCTGGTCTATAAAGTAACGTAGACCATTACAACTGTGATAGAACGTCTTTTTTTAATAAATGCACCAAGTGAAACTGAAATAAGAGGATTTATAAAGTTATGTCATTTGAATTACTTTTTTCTTTTTCACAGTACCTGGAAGCATCACCAATCTATCTCCGCAGATTGTTGGAACAACCTTTTTGTATGTGACTTGGACCAGACCAGGTGGAGCACTCTCTTTCTACAGAGTATCCTGGACAGGTGGAAATAGTAACAACAGTTTACTGGCGAACCAAAACTCTACAAACATTACAACGCTGACTCCTGGGGTCCGATACTACGTAACTGTCCGTGCAGTTGCAGCTGATAACCGTACTGAAGGAAACAGTCAGACCATTTCTGTTTATACAAGTAAGTGGTCATTTAGATTTGTTTTACATTAGGAAATGTGTGAATGTGGTGGTGATTTTCTGTTGAGTTGCTTTTGCACATTTCCATCCATCCATTATCTTTTACCCGCTTCTTTCATTTTGGGTCACGGGGGTCGCTGGTGCCCATGTCCAGCAATCACTGTGTGAAGGGTGAGGTACACCCTTTACAAGTCGCAAGTCCATCACAGGGCCACATAGAGACAAACGAAACAAACAACCATCCACTTTCTCACTCACACCTAGGGACAATTTAGAGTTACCAATCAGCCTAACATGCATGCTTTTTGGTCTGTGGGAGGAAACTGGAGTACCCGGAGAAAACCCACGCATACACCAAGAGAACATGCAAACTCCACCGAGAAAGGCTCCTGGACCGGGATTTGAACCAGGGACCTATTCGCTGAGAGGCAGCAGCTCTACCAGTTGCGCCACCGTGCTGCCTGCACTTTTTCCCTTTCTCAAAAAATAAAAGAAGAAGAAAATAAAATCTTTGGTTTGCACTCAAATCTTCCTGACATTTACAAATGGCTACCATAGCTAAAATATTATTATTTTGTATATTATTATATTATATAAAGTGGGACCCGATACCAGCCTCAAGAACTTGTTCTTGCTCTCATAAAAACATTCCGATACTTCAAACCGATGCCACTTTAATGTTTGGTGACGTCACTTCCACTTTGCAAGTAACTGAGGACCAAAAATAAATAAAAAAAAGTCCATAATTTAGAGACATTTTAAGATAAACATAGGTAATGCTAAAACAGCAGACTGCCTGCTGTGCTTTTAATAAAAGAATTGTGTTTCTAACTCCAGGCAGCACGGTGGCACAACTGGTAGAGCTGCTGTCTCTCAGCGAGCAGGTCCCTGGTTCAAATCCTGGTCCGGTGCCCTTTCTGTGTGGAGTTTGCATGTTCTCTCCATGCATGCGTGGGTTTTTTCTTGGTACTCTGGTTTCCTTCCACAGACCAAAAACATGCATGTTAGACTGATTGGTAACTCTAAATTGTCCCTAGGTGTGAGTGAGAGAGTGAATGTTTGTTTGTCTCGTTTGTCTCTGTGTCCCTGTGATGGACTTGCGACCCGTCCAGGGTGTACCCCGCCCCTCGCACAATGATTGCTGGACATGGGCATCGGCGACCCCAGTGACCCAAAATGGAAGAAGCAGATAAAAGATAATGGATGGATGTTTTTAACTCATTAAAAAATTAGTTTGGGCAAGTACCCAAACTAAAGTACTTGTACTCGGTCTGATGAGCCACCCTCCCTAATTATATATTATATTATATTATATTACATTGTATTGTATTATAATTAAAATTTTTTAAAGTAAAACATGTGGGGAAAATAAATAGAAAGTAAATGTTAGTTAAAGTCAAAATTAAAGTACCAGTAAAACAAATACACAATAATACAAAAATACACAATGTGGAAGTAATTAGATAGGTTTAGGCATCAATTTGTTTCACACACAACAACAGACTTATTCATCCCTGACTTTAATTTGAAGAGTGTTACATTTTGTTTACCCCCCCATTCCCCCCCCACACACACACACACACCTCCCCGTTTAAAATATTTTGTAATAGCAGCCAATATTACCATAATTAACATGATTCCTGGCGATCAGTTACTTCTGTGGCAGGTGATAATTATACTGGAGGAAAGAGTTTCCTTGTGTCCCATTACAGAAACAGCCAATAACCTTATGTCCAGTGAAACAGCAATATTATTATCTGGTTTTAAAATTAAACAAATCAGGGGGACAAAACACAGACACTCCTCCAACCCCCCCC